AAAGACATTCAGTAAAAAAAACTAATACAACTGACAAAGCAATGAAATTACAAAAATTTTAAATAAAATGTAAATTTAAATATAAAAAACTAATTTTAAAAATTGACAAAAACTACAATAGTATCTCAGTGATACTAAAATAACTGGTTGGAAGTTCAAAATTCTCAATAAAACAATTCATTGTGTAGACATTTACATTTATTGTGTTCCCATTAATTTATTCCTTACATTTTCTTCAATGGGTCTTACAAAGGTCTTACAAGTTACCTTCATAAAACCTGCAAAATAAAGGTTTGCGTATGTGTGTGGATCTCAGAAACCTGACGTTCTCATTACTGTAATGCTAATTAATTCAGCTTCAGTGGAAACCTTACATTAGTTAACTCCATTAGTTAACATGAACTAACAATAAACAATACTTCTCCAGCATTTATTAATCTTAGTTAATGTTAATTCCAGGATTTGCTAATACATCATTAATGGTCCTGAACTAACAATGAACAGTGGTGTTTTTATTAACTGACTTTAACAAAGATTATAACAAAGATTAATAAATACTGTAACAAATATTAACTAATAGGACCTTATTGTAAAGTGTTACCATTATACATCATTCAGCTGCTCGTTGAATATCCGAAATACATCACGATACAGAGATAGTGTTACGGGGCTGACAAGACGTGAGACGTGCGGATCCATGTGCAAGCTTTTATTGAAAGCAGAAGAGGTCAGAAACACAGGCAGGGTCGAACAATGGCAAACAGGTATATGGCGGGCAAGACACAAGAATAATCCTAGGGCTAGCGTGGGTCTTCGATCGGCGAACAGTTTCCAGAGGGCTTGACAAGAGGGGTAATCCGTAAACGTGAGCAAAAGTCCAGGCGAGGAGCAAACACAGTCCGAAAACAGCAAGCAAAGGGTTAATCCAAGATACGTGGCAAGAATCAGGAACCAGGAAAACAGGCAAGGCAAGGCAAGACGATGACTAGACTATGCAAACTAGAGCAGGCTCCGTAAAGTAGCTATGAGCTATCACAGTGATAAACGCTAAACAATACTCGGCCAAGAATGGTGTTTGAGTGAGTGTTATATAGTGAATGTGTGATTGATGTCAGCTGTGTGCAATCAGTGCTGTGTGCAATCAGTGCTGTGTGCAATCAGTGCAATGGCTGATGGGATATGTAGTCCGGGATGACATGCAAGTTTGTGTTGTGCGAGAGTTAATTTAATGAAAGGGTGACCTCTGGTGGTGATTGAACGGAAGTCCATGGACAGGATTCGTCACAGATAGAATAAGCTGTGAAACTGATTTTAGGGATTGCAAACAAAACAGATTTGTGTTTAGCAAAGCCATAATTGATTTAAATTATATGGTTGATTATGAAACTTTCTTTCAGGCAGTTAATATATAGTCAAACCAAAACAGACACCTTCAACATTATATCAGTTTATTCGCTATAGATTAGAAAATGGTAACAAAATATGAGAAGAACTCAGAGTTAAACTGAATAAACTGTGATAATGTCAGATAACTTTGATAGAAAGGCATGTAATGAATTGGGTTGAATAGCTGTCAGCTGTTACATTTAAGAACACAATTAGATAAAACCAATTGTGACCCTGGAGTACAAAACCAGTCTTAAGGGTCAATTTTTGAAAATTGAGATTTATGCATCATCTGAAAGCTGAACAAATAAGCTTTCCATTGATGTATGGTTTGTTATGATAGGACAATATTTGGCTGAGATACAACTATTGGAAAATCTGGAATCTGAGGGAGCAAAAAAATCTAAATATTGAGAAAATCATCTTTAAAGTTGTCCAAATGAAGTTCTTAGCAATGCATATTACTAATCAAAAATTAAGTTTTGATATATTTACGGTAGGACATGTACAAAATATCTTCATGGAACATGATCTTTACTTAATATCCTAATGATTTTTGGCATAAAAGAGAAATGTATAATTTTGACCCATACAATGTATTGTTGGCTATTGCTACAAATATACCCCAGCGACTTAAGACTGCTTTTGTGCTCCAGGGACACAATTTAGCTCAAACAATTACCAAGCAGTGTTTCGTTTTGTTCAGTCTGTGGTGTAAAAAGATCGCATTAACAATTAAAGAAAAAACACAAACAAAACATGCTCAGATCAAAGTTTGAATAATTTTTGATCCCAAATTTTACTGGTCGTCCACTGTATGAAGACTTTTTGGGTGTAATATGTCACAGTTCACTTTATTTTGCTATCCTCACTTGTGTAAATGAACTGTAGTGTCCTGCGCCCACTAGTAAAAAATATATATCTGGTGTCGAATAATATTTGGTTTGAGTGTACAATTAATCATTGAAATCCATTGAAACAGTATGTCGTGAAACTGCTAGGATCTAATAAGTGATTGATTTAGTTTCTAAATATGAATGCAAAATGAACTATATTTACATCTTTTCTTTTAAAACAAAAGACAGATTGTTCAAGTAGGTCTTATTGGCACTCAGAGGATCGTGATAAACATGTGTGCGGTTAATTTCTGCAGTAAACCGTCCTACAGTGTGATAAAGTGCTGCGCAGAAACACATATATGTGAGCAGTGCTGGCAGAATGAGTGAATGTGCACGGTCTAATTCTGAGCTACAGGCAAAAGAAGTGAATTTTAGTCGAATTTGAGGTTTTCGCAAAAATGAGTTAATTAAGCCCTCTTCTAGCGATCCCAATGCTCCCGATTCCAACAAGTCATTTTGAAGGTAATTTTAATGGTAAATTTGCTCATTCCGACTCATCTTGCCAGAACGGGTCACATTTGGCCGTATGATGGTGTGATTTCTCTGTAGAAAAGAAACTTACAAAAAGTGGCTGCATAGTAAGAGAAGAATCTAACGACACGACTCAACCACCAGCAGATATGAATATATGAACACAGAAATCATAACGGTTCACCATCCCTCCACTTCCACGACGAAGGGCTCTTCGAGCTTGATCTTGCCGCTGTTGACGATCACACACTCGGTGTAGGGCAGGTTACGATTGTTCGTGTCCTGGAGCTCGATGGTGTGAACCACAGCCTGAAACACAGTTTGTTTCATACCTGATGAGCTTGCTATTGAAGCCAAGTCACCTTTATTTCAAAGCAGCTTTACAGTGATAGATGAGAAAATAGTGATTCAATTCAATTCTGCTGTAAAAAGATAATACTAAACAGTCATTGTTCAGTTGAAATCACTTCATTGTTAAATCAACTACTGACTATTGAACTACAATTTTAATCAACGCTGAAACCAAATTGAGTCGAATAATGACACTTTTGCATTTTTAGAGCAGCTGTACAGCTGAAATTTTATTCATTTCATAATTAAAGAACTTTGCAACATTAACATTTTTTCCTGTTTAATTACATAGTAAAAAGTGGTAACCTTTTATTACTTTAAAGAGCTATTTCTATCTACTTTAACTCATAAAAATCAGTTTTGTTGGTGGTCAATGTCTACGGGTCAAAGACAAGAATGGGTTTTCAAGCATCAAATAATAATAAAAAATCAATACAGCTTTAAATTTTAAAATTTAAACTTTAAATTTAGAATTTTATTTTTCGGAGTAAAAAATAATGACCATCGTACATTTTTACTATAATTTACTGAAGTCGCCCATTCAGTGTAACAATAATTCATATAACAAAAAATCTCATCAGGCATACTTAGAACCAGAATCATTATTAATTAATTAATTAATTGTCATTTTAAATCTTTACCAATTTTTTGCCACGATGCTTCAAACCACTAGGTTTGACCCATTCATCAGCAAGACGTTTTAAAATGTAATAAAATTTAGTATGATCACTTATTATTATTATTATTATAAAGTACAGGTCATTTTTACATAAATATATCTGTTACACTGAATGTTAATGAAGAATTATTTTGACATTTTATTTCCACTAAAATTATTTGAAACATTAAAGCAGACTTTCTGTGTATATAAAATCACTTTTGTAAATTTAATTTGGACGTCTCGTCTTTGACCCGTATGCAATAGGCTTAGGAATGTTAATTAATATTTATTTGTTAGCATTATTTGAGTGTATGGTGAAGCTGCTCTGAAACGATCTGTGCTATATTAAGCGCTGTAGAATTAAATCTGACTGTTGGTTTTCTAGTGACATTATTCACTCTGTCTGTGTGTGTTAGTGTGTTTTTCTCATACCATCCCCTCCAGGACTTTGCCAAACACCACATGTTTTCCGTCCAGCCACGGCGCTCTGGCTAAAGTAACGAAGAACTGTGAGCTGTTGGTGTCGGGCCCGGTGTTTGCCATGCTGACCCAACCTGCGCCCAGATGCTTGAGCCTGAAGCTCTCGTCTGCAAACGTGCTTCCATAGATGCTTTTTCCTGAAAGACACAGGAATTATAGTTCTGTGTGAGGAATTATTAGGTTGGCTTGAGAAAGCCAAATGATCTGCTACTCAAGCTTTTTATTATTATTCTTCTTAGACTAAATTTCTGAACGCTACTCCTCCTAGAGCTTTTAAGCTAGAACCACCAAACTCAGCCCAGCTCTTCAGACTGATCCGACTTAGTGTGCCTTATCTTTTCAGACTGATCCGACTTATGGTTTTCATAAAGATTAAGATTAAAAATCATAAAAATCCCATACACTTAAATAGACGGAATGTTGAGATGAGCCAAGACTATTCAAACTCCAACTGTCAAAATTCTAATCTAAACACACTGAAGCCCATTAGACTCAATCAGACTTCCCTTCTATGTACTATTTCTAACCCATTCAAACTCATTCAAACTCATCTAATATTTCTAATCTATCTATCTATCTATCTATCTATCTATCCTAGCGACATCCTAATCATGTTAGAAACATGGTAGTAACACGCTAATCATGCTAGAAACATGCTACCGACATGCTAGTAACTTGCTAATCATGCTAGAAACATGCTAATAACATGCTAATCATGCTAGCAACATGCTAGTAACATGCTAATCATGCTAGTGACATGTTAGTAACTTGCTAATCATGCTAGCAACATGCTAGTTACTTTGCTAATCATGCTAGTCACTTGCTAATCATGCTAGTAGCATGATAATCATGCTATAAACATGCTAATAACTTGCTAATCATGCTATCAACATGCTAGTAACTTGTTAATTATGCTAGAAAAATTGTAACGAAATGCTAGTAACTTGTTATCATGCTGGAAACATGCTAGTCACTTGCTAATCATGTTATCACTATGTTAGTAGCATGCTAATCATGCTAGCAACATGCTAATCATGCTAGAAACATGCTAGTAACTTGCTAATCATGCTATCAACATGCTAATCATGCCAGCAATCTAGTCACTTGCTAATCATGCTAGTAGCATGATAATCATGCTATAAACATGCTAATAACTTGCTAATCATGCTATCAACATGCTAGTAACTTGTTAATTATGCTAGAAAAATTGTAACGAAATGCTAGTAACTTGTTATCATGCTGGAAACATGCTAGTCACTTGCTAATCATGTTATCACTATGTTAGTAGCATGCTAATCATGCTAGCAACATGCTAATCATGCTAGAAACATGTTATCAACATCTATCTAAATGTTCAAACTTCAGGCTTTTACAACTGCTTTAAACTTTCAGGCTATAAGCCAACCTAAAGTTTGTCTTGACTTTTTTTATCTAGCTCACTGATGATCTTCCACACAGCTCCTGAATATATGCAGAACGTCAGGTTTGACATAATTTTGAGTGAGTATCTGCGTAGGTTTGGACCTGTTCCTCACACAGCTGTCATGCTGTCACGGCTTTTTGGAGTACAACACAAGCTACGTTTCCATGCACCCAAATAATGTGTTTAGAATCAGATTGATGGCTCAGTCGGACTGAAAAGCCTTCATATAAACACTTCTGATTATTGAATTTAATCTGATTGAAATGGGGTGCACGTATACACACAGGCTACTGTACGAATGTGCTTATAGTCATTTATGTCTCGCATCTTATGAACTGGTCACTGGAAGAGACTGCTAAAATGTTCTTTATATAAGTCTGCTTTCTTTCTAGATGTGCCATCAAGGTGAAAATAACAATTATACTGACTGACCCAATGCTTAAGTTCATATAAACCAGTGTTATTTTAGTATCATTGATATACTATTGCAGTTTTTGTTAATATGTTGAATTTGTTTTTATTTTTATATATTCTGTTAAAAAATGTGTATTGATTTTTTTAAGTTTTAGCAATTTTGTGTTTTTATTAGTTTTTTTAATGCCTATACAGTTTTTTTAAATGTTTATTTATTAGTTTTAGTTTATTTAGTTATTTTAGTACTTCAAGTAATGAAAAAGCTTTTTTGTTCTTGTTTTTTAGGTTTTTTAAAGTTTAGTTTATATATATATATATATATATATATATATAGTTTGAGTTATTTTAGTACTTAAAGTTAATGAAAATTAGATTTTTTTTTATTTAAAGTTTTAGAAATTTTGTGTTTCTGTCTTTTGTTAGTTTTTTAAATATGTCTATGTAGTTTTTTATTTTTTAATGTTTTAGTACTTAAAGTTAAACTAAACATGAGAAATGTTGGTGCTGAGAAATGAGAAATACTTGGTAACTAGCTGAAATAATATAAGTTCTTTTATATTTTAATATATTTCATGTAAATATTAGTTTATTATTATACTGTTATAAACAGAACCTTCAAAATCTGAAATCAGATTGGATTAATTCGACTGATAAACATGAGAGCGTGCAATCATACCTGCTGTTAATCATTTATTTCATTTGTACATTTTAAACAGAAACATGAAAATGTTCTGTGTTCCAGAGAAGACATGAGGGAGAGCACCGCAAAAAATCATTCTCTTACTTAGTGTTTGTGTCTTGTTTTCTAGTACAATTCTTGAATCAAGATGAATTTACTGTACGAGTAAAATGAGTTAAGATATTAAGTCTTGTTTTCTAAAAAAAAAGTATTAAAATGTTAGTTTTTGCTTAAAACAAGCAAAAATATCTGCCAATGGTGCAAAAAATTAATCTAGTTTCGCTTTTGAATTAAGATTCTTTTTCTTACCGCATTAGCAGATATTTTTGCTTGTTTTAAGCAAAAACTGACAACATTTTGATACTTTTTATTTTAGAAAGCAAGACATAATATCTTAAGTCATTTCGCTTGTACAGTAAATGCATCTTGATTCAAGAATGTTTAGATATTTATACTAGAACACAAGACACAAACACTATGTAAGAGAATGCTTTTTTGCAGTGTGCTCACTCGTCCTCACCTCCTGTTCCGTCTCCAGCGGTGAAGTCTCCTGCTTGGATCATGAAGTCCTTGATAACCCAATGGAACTTGCTGCCTTTGTACCCGTAATCCTCCTGAAGAGAGGACCTGTGTCAGAGCAGCATGCTGCTGTATGATGATAGATGTGTGTCGTGACTCGTGTGTATGGTGAGTTTTACCTCTCCTGTGGCAAGAGCCACAAAGTTCTGCACGGTCAGCGGAGCGACCTCTCCAAACAGACCGATCACGATCCTGCCAACCTCGTGTCCTCCGACGGTGATGTCAAGAAACACCTGCAGCACAAACCAGCACTTTCACCATTCACAGCCAAACATCACAGATCACACCGCAAAAAATTATTCTCTTGCTTAGTGTTTGTGTCTTGTGTTCTAGTATAAATATCTAAACATTCTTGAATCAAGACGCATTTATTGTACGAGTGAAATGAGTTAAGATATCAAGTCTTGTTTTCTAAAAAAAAGTATTTTATAATATAAACAAGCAAAAATATCTGAAAAAGAATCTTAATTCAAAGGCTAAACGAGATTATTTTTCTTGCACCATTAGCAGATATTTTGATTGTTTTAAGCAAAAACTAACAACATTTTGATACTTTTTTTTACAGAAAACAAGACGTAATATCTTAAATCATTTTACTCGTACAGTAAATTAATCTTGATTCGAGAATTTGTAAATATTTATACTAGAACACAAGTCACAAACACTAAGAGAATCATGTCTTGCGGTGCAGCACTGTGTGTGTAATACTAGTATGTATATATATATATATATATATATATATATACTTATTATAGTTTAAAACAGATGTTTTCTATGTGAATATGTGTTAAACTGTAATGTATTTCTGTGATGCGCAGCTGTATTTCCATCATCATTACTCCAGTCTTCAGTGTCACATGATCTTCAGAAATCATTCTAATATGCTGATTTATTATCAGAGCTGGAAACTGTTGCTGCTTCATACTTTTTTGGAAGCTGTGATACTTTTTTCAGGATTCTTTTAAAAAAAGCTTTTATTCAAAATAGAAATCTTTTCAAACAATATAAGTTAGAAACTTTTTTTTAAATCAATTTTACATCCTTCCTGAATAAATGTATTAATCTCTTAAAAAAAAAAAAATAAAATATATATATTTACTGACCCCAAACTTTTGAACGGTAGTGTATATTGTTAAAAAAAGAATTCTATTTGAAATAAATGCTCTTCTTTTGAACTTTTTATTCATCAAAGAATCCTGAAACAAAGTATCACAGCTTCTAAACAAATATGAAGCAGCATCAGTTTCCAGCTCTGATAATAAATCAGCATATTAGAATGATTTCTGAAGATCATGAGACACTGAAGACTGGAGTTATGATGCTTTGCATCACAGGAATAAATTACATTTTAAAGTATATGAAATCCTTTTTTTTTTATTGTAAAAATATTTCACAATATTAAAAGTTTTTTTTTTCAGTTTTTTGATCAAATAAATGCAGAAGAAACTTCTTCAAAACGTTAAAAATCTTACTGATCCCACATTTTTGAACGCGAGTGTATCTACGAATTTAAGCATTTGCAAATATGTAAAAAAACAAAAAACGTGTATAGACCATTTTTTAAAATTCAAAAGTGCATTATACTATTAACGAACATAATCAGCTTATTCGGTCATGATGCTGCATTGCTGTGTGTTTCTGTAAAGCGTCATATGTGACGCGTGGCGTGAACAGAACAGACGCATTGACGGTCATCGCTTAAAAGACAAAAACACTAGCGACACGCCGCAGGTTTAGTTCATGTAGGAGCGGATGGATGCTTGTATTGCGACGCGTCGCGGAGAATGCGTCTCACCTTGTCCGTCACTCGCGGTCCCGTCCGCGTTTTAAAATCAATGGCGCTTCCTAAAAACGGCAAATAGAGGAGCGCAAACGCGCGCCAGAGCTGATGTCGCTGCATCTCTGAATACGGATGCGATGCGACGCGATGCGAGCGCGGATTTAACTGAAGAGAAGCGGCGGATTGCGTGACGCGCGCGTCTTCCTGTATGACGCTCCGCCTCCCGCGCGCGTCACCGTCTCAGGAATTTAATTAGGCTACGTATATTACACAAGACACACCGATTTATAAAGAATATAGTAGCAATGTACAGAACAACGGAGAAATGTAAATAAACAAGAAAAAAGGGTGTTTTGATACATGATACATTTGGATACATTTTTTTTTGCATTTTTGTAAAATGATACATTTTGACTCAAAAATTGCTAGTGGCTAAATTTCACAAAGAAACGACATTTAAAACATTTAATTAAATGCGTAATTTGAAGTAGTCTAGAAAAACAGCGTTTTCTCGTAAAACACTCCAATTATCTTTTGGAAAATATGGATTTTTTTTTCTTTGGTTTTTTGGAACAGGATAGTTGGTCTAAACATTAGGTAGTACTTTAAAGTGGATTTTCTAATAAGATGTGCAAGAGATTTTGGTTTGATTTTTAATAACATTTGGAATGAATAATATTTCTGATGGTCTGGTTCACTGCTGTAGAATCTGAAAGAAGAGAAACTAAATGAATACTCTCTTAATTTCTTCATTGGCATTGATTGTTTCTTGAAAACCTTTAACATCAATGGAGCCTGTACATTGCAAAACACATTCTTTAGAATGGAAAGAAATGTTCTTTAGATTTTTAAATCTTTTTCACATTGCAGTGATGCAATCGAAGAATCATTTTTGGTTTCAGAACCTTCTAATGAACAGTTTCTTAAAAGAACCATTTTGCATCAGTGTGAAGATCATTTTAATCATCTGAAGAACATTTTTCCGCTATAAAGAACCTTTGGTGGTTCCATGGATGTTTAAGGTCCTGCCAATAAAGAAGCTTTATTTTTAAGAGTGTGAAAGAATGGTTCTTTTCAGAAAGAGTTCAGTGAAAGGTGTTTTGGGGAACCCACAATGCTTCTTCTATGGCATCGCTGTTATTTGTAAGAGTGTAGGTAAGTAGGCCTAGAAATCTTTATAATTTGGTGTCGTACAAACCCTGTTCTAATCGGGTTTGTTCTCTGCAGTGTTTCCTCTAAGCACACGATCCGAGGGCCGCGGGTCCCTTAATCAGGTCAAGTGCGTGCTTCATTACACTCGCTGGTAGCTGCCATGTAAAGCACCAGACCTCATCTCAGAAGGCCTGACCCAGGAGAGCTCGCCGTAATGGCTTCTGCACTGATGGCTGGTCTAATCATCGGCCCGGGCATGAATTTTAGTCTGCTGGTTATTTCATTCAGCGCCGGTGTTTTACGGGAAACCCTGTGAACTCGGTTCTACCAGATGCTCAGATGTGCAGGTTTGGTGTGTATTTTACAGGTTACTCCAGCAGGTCTCAGATCAATGCACGCTTACAGATGTGATGAAGAAGATGCTTCAAAACCAAGACCAGACTGACCAAAAATAAAACATAAATCTAAATTAAATGGTTAAAGGTAAATGTGCAACATAACAGGAAATAAATCCAAAATATAAATGAATGAATTAAAAAAAATATATATATATGTGACCCTGCAGCACAAAAGCAGTCTTAAGTCGCTGGGGTATATTTGTAGCAATAGCCAACAATACATTGTATGGGTCAGAATTATAAATGTCTCTTTTATGCCAAAAATCATTAGGATATTAATCTAATAATTATCTTGTCAATTTCCTACCGTAAATATATCAAAACTTAATTTTTTATTAGTAATATGCATTGCTAAGAACTTCATTTGAACAACTTTAAAAGATGATTTTCTCAATATTTAGATTTTTTTGCACCCTCAGATTCCAGATTTTCAAATAGTTGTATCTCAGACAAATATTGTTCTATCCTAACAAACCATGCATCAATGGACAGCTTATTTGTTCAGATTTCAGATGATGTATAAATCTCAATTTCAAAAAATTGACCCTTATGACTGGTTTTGTGCTCCAGGGTCACATATGTACATTCAGTTTTTTGTTTTATGTTTTATGTAAGTTTTTTTCCTTACAGGGATCCTGCGAGAGAATTCAACTAAGGCAGCAACTAAAGAAATCACCGCAAAAATTGTTGATGAATTGCCAGAAAATGGTGTTTTATAAATAACTGATTTACTCCTGGGAGCTCAGGTATGGTTTTGTAAATATAATTCACCGTGTTTCACCACCTCAGACGAGTGGACTTCCATTGGCTGGATTGGTTATGGTGTGCTCGTATGATTGTGATGCATCCAGCTTCAGTTCTGTCAGGACGTGTTACAGGGTTTCTGAAGACTCACAGAGAGCAGCTTCAGAGACCAAAGCTCCAGTCACTGAGCTGGATTGGAGAGACAGAAGGAGAAAGAGCAGCACTTTCTCGCTGATGGCATCTTCAGATCTGTCTTCACTGATGGATCAGAAATGAGGTGATGTGGTGTAGTGGTTAACCATCTGGGTCGGCGACTGAAAGCCAGACTCCAGGAGGTCTAAATAAGACTGAACGTGTCACTTATTAGAGCATCAGAAAAATATCCACGTACCTGTCTAACAAAAATATGTTCTAAGAGTGTTTTGCTAATGTTCCCATTATGATATGAAAACATGATTGCTGAGTGTTTTCAGAATGCAGTTTTTAAAAAATGTTTTATTTGTTCTTGGTTATGTGATTGTTAGAGAAAACATTAAGGACGCCCAGTTACGATTTTGCAAACATTATGAAAACGTTCCCTGAATCATCTGAAACAGGTAGCACATAGTAACATTTATAAAACATTAGACTAACATCCAACTAAAATGATTCAGAAAAACATTGCATGCTTTTGTGCTAATGCTTTGAGAATGTTATTAAAAACTAGATAACTTTAAACAAACATACTGTTAACGTTACTGGAAGAATATTAATTCATAACCTTGCCAGAATATTCTGAGAACATTCTGTTGTAAAATATACTGACAGGCCTCCTTTAATCAAACTAAACTACCAAATTCGTGTTTGTTGCATGCAAGTACAGTATTCATACATTTGATATACTTATAATAATTAAATAATAATGTAAGTGATTATAAAACGTCTTTTTCACAGTTTGTAAGTGCGATAGGCTCTAGTGCGCCCCCTTTGTCCAGTTTGAAAGAATGACAGCGACATATTTCAATATTCAATAGAGCTCAGTCATGGGTAGCGTGTATATTTCATTTCTGACGGGAACGAAAACGAGGCCGTGAAAGACTCAAGTACTGTGCGTTCAATGGATTCTTGATTACCGATTGTTTAGCTGATGAAATATCTATCTGAAAAGACTTTAGGCAGACAAAAACTCAATTAAACAGTTCTGAATGATAAAAAAATACACTTTTATATAGTGCATGCCATTGCAACTGTAAATCCCTCGCAGCCTCGTTTTAACCCGTTAGATTCAATATGGCGGCTAAACTAGGCTATTTTGCGCGGAATGAGTTGATGATAAAGGATAACTTAATTCTGTCTCATTAAAATATGCAGCGCTAATAGGCTACGTTGATACAAATCGATATTAAAATGAATTTAGATCAGTACTGGATTTATTACGGATAATTCATGTTTTATCTCACATTATTTTGAATTGTCGCGCGACTCTCATATTTTCGCAGAAACGGCAAACACTATATAAAGGTTTTGTGATGCACGACCAAACCCGAGCAGCAGTGTGCTGGAAATCTGCGATATGAATGAGTTCACTCTGCTTTTCTCTCTATCAAACGACACAAAAAGAGTTGTGTTAATGGATAAACAGCAAAAGCGCTTTTACATCATTAATAGACTGATGTAAAACACACTCGAGGCACTTCTATAAATCTCTCTTTTTTTGCAGTGGGTTATTAACAGGCAATTTATTATAAGTTTGAGTTGCAACAACAGGACGAGCATCAACTCCCATCTGAATATACGTCTATATTAATGAATTATATACTCAGCAACCCGTGACCTTAAAACTATAATAAGAGGCGCTGGTGGCTGAATTCTTTATCGGACTCCTGTCACACGCAGCCGTTCATTTGTCTTTCAGCCATCAGCAGAATTAATTAACAAGAAATGCAAAGGGTCTAAGTGAATGTCAAACAGCAGTCCATGTTAATGAAAGACACGCCTAAACACTTTTTTCACGCGCTGCAAATATACAAATGAAGCCCAAGTTTACGCTCTGCTTTAATAATCCGTGTTTTTGGCACAGAAAATGATATATTTGGGCAGTTAATGTATTGATCTCTTCTGCCCCTCGAGTGCACTTTATTTCACCGGTCATTTATCAATGAATAAAAACACCAATACGCTGTCATAAGAGCAGTGTTATTTGGAAGTGTGACAACTATAAATGGTTTAAAGGTTAGATTCGACATGCATTATTATTTAAATAATAACAGTAATTTAATTAATTAAAATAGAATATAGCGCGATTTAATAATTTTAATGATAACTGCGCCATGCCTAAAATAAAGCTTTATCGCCAAAGAAAAATCTAAATCTGCGCGCTGTTCTTGCTCACATTCTTTAAGGGTGAAATGCATGCATTTGTAGACAAGAATTCATTTTCAGACGATAATGTTTGTGTTTTGGTTCGTTATCAATCTCTGCAGAGACCTCTGGATGACGAATGGGCCTGCCACAATGTTGCCAGTCAAAACATTGACCCCTCCTCTGCTGAAAAATGCCCTACATTCAGATACAGAGCGCTTTTCCAAAACTTTCTCAAGCGTCTGGAAGGAAATGCTGGGAAACTATTACGCAGTCTTATCTGGTGCGTCAAGCGAGCGACTTAAAGAAATAAGCCTAGGCTAATACAATGATCAAATGCCTGATTGATAGAGTCATTCATTATCATACAAACTCAAAATTCCGACAATAATTTATGATTCCAGCAACTTTCCGACTACCAAAGAAAAGCGTTTTTTGTGTAATGCGTATTTTTGTACAATGCATGCATCTAATCTAATGCATAATCCGCCACTTAAAAAAAAGTAATGCCAAATTAAAACCAAGCGCTCAGCATCACTTAGAGGCGCGTGCTCGTGCGGGAGCGCGCTGCGCGTGCACGCGCCGACAGGGGTTCGAGCAGAGCTCTCGGTCAATACTGAGATGTTGTGAGTGTCCAAGAGTCACAGCCTGGACTCCTCTGACAGGGTAAGTGTGTTTCACTCGCGAGCGCTTGCATTTGACTCGCACAAACATGCGGCGCGAGCGCAGAAGTCCGGTACGACTCGGCTTCTGTGTTGTAGTGTGTTTAAACGCGCGTCGCGGCCTGACTAGTTAACTTAACCAGCGATTCTTTTCTGAAGAGCACATGAAAGTCCACCATCATCATCCATCATCTGTGCTGCTGTTACAGTCGGACATGCTGAAGCCGGGCGAGCCGAGCGGTTCTGCTTTCCTCAAAGTGGACCCGACCTACATCCAGCACTGGCAGCAGCTCTTCCCGCAGAATAGCGCACTGAAAGCCGCTTCTCTGCCGCCTCCGGTGCCGCTGGAGAACCTCCGCCTGCAGAGACCCAGCCTGATCTCGAGCTCCAGCTCCTCCACCGCGTCTCCCGCGGGTCAGATCGCGCTGTTCGGACAGACTCTGAGCTCCGACACCGGCGGCGGATCTTCTCAAGCCAAAGAACTTTGCTTGTCGTCCAACTTTAAGAATGATAAAGGATCGCGGCTGAAGCTGAGCTCCGAGGAGCTGGACTATTATCTCTACGGACAGCAGAGGATGGAGATCATCCCGCTCAACAACCACAACGGAGAGCTCAACAACCGTATGTAGCTTTATGCGCTTTCATAATCATAACACACACACACACTCTCTCTTAAAAATACAGATGAGGAAAAAAAGGCTCAGATAGGAACTTTTTATTCAACTGTTTTAAAAAATAAAATAAAACAATGAAACAGCATCTGAAGAACCTGTAATCAAACACCAATAAATATAAATTTGATATTTATATTTTATAAATAAATATATTTTATAAATAAATATATTTAAATGAATGCTGTATTTAAGTGAATAATTTAGTTTTGTGATAAAATAGCAACATCACTGCATAGCTGCTAGATAATCTTCTTAAAACAGCTTCTTGATAGTATTTTTGTAGTAGGTCAAAGATTGAGTCGTGCAGCTGATTATACTCAATTCTAGTGATCGAATTGAATTTATTCCCGTGTCGACTTTCAAGAGTTTTTTGTTTTTAAACCAGAAAACTGAGAAATTATCAACGAGCCGTATCGAATATCCTGAAATCATTTACTGAAATTAATACATTAAAATGAGTAGAAATGAAATAAATCGACATTTAATCTCGGCCTTATTTTAAAATGCATATTCAATGAATAGAACATTTTTAGCTGATTTGCATAGGCTATTTAAATTGGCTTAAAATCTGAGATGTCGTTAAAAATCAAATGCATTATAATTACATCGAGTGTCAATGTCAACAACTGAAATCATTTTTACTCCGAGTTCTTCTGAATGCAAGCTTTTGAATCTTTATTAATTGCGACGTAGATTTTGGCCCGTTATATTTCCTCTCGCCTTTTTTTTTTCTGGATAATTAAATAAGCGCTCATGCACAGAGGGAAATACTGTATGAATGTGAGATGTGATCAGCAGATCTTCATCGATAAATGCCACACACACACAATCATAAACATAAACATAAACAGGAGGAAAGAAGGGTCATGCAAACTTTCTAAAACATCGGCGTTCTGGTGCTTTGAAGAAGCGCAACACGATAAATATACAGAGAGAAATATGGTTCTTGCAAACAACAGAACTCGTGAAGAACCTTCATTTTTTTGAGGGGAGTGTTTGACAAAACCAGCGCTTTATTAGGCTACAAACCTAAACCTGTTTCTGGCGATTAGTTATTGAGAAAAAGTCAATTTACGTGCTGTTGCGTTTTAGAAAATATATTTAAATGAACAATTTAGTTTTATGACAAAACAGCACTGGTCTAGCCTACATTATATTAGTGCATAACTGCAAGTTCATCTTCTTAAAACAGTTTCTTAGTATTTTTGTAATGGGCCGAAGATTCAGATTTTACTGAATTCTCTAGTGATCGAATTGAATTTATTCTCAGGCAGGTGCGTGTTGAATTTGACGAGTTTTTTGTTTTTAATCCAGATCAGTGTGAAATTAATCAACGGGCGGTATCGAATATCCTGAAATTGTTTACTGAAATTAAAGAAATTGTCACAAATTAAAATGCATATAAATAAAATAAAATCGACATTCACATGGAAGAAAAAGGCTTTTTTTTTTTTTTTTTTATCTCGGCCTTATTTTAAAACGCATAGCCTATTCAACGAATAAGCATCTTTAGCTGAGTTGTAGCCTATATAATATTTAAATTGGCTGAGATGTCTTAAATATTTTTAATTAAAAATCAAATATATGATAATTACATTGATTGTCAGTTTCAACACCTGAAATCATTTTTACTCTGAATTCTTCTGAATGACTCAAAAAAAGTAGAATTTGTCCCGTTATATTTCCGATGTTTTTTTCTCTCTCTCTGGATAATTAAATAAGCGCTTTGATGCACGGAGGGAAATACTGTAGGAGTGTGAGATGTGAAAGCTGGTGAGTGATCAGCAGATCTTCATCGATAAATGCAGCAGCACATGAGGGATGAGCGGACAACACACAATTAATTGCTGTATAGTTTTGTAGAGTGAGTCCGGATCACTGATCGATCTGCTCCATCGGCCCACATTCATCATCCCAACACGGGACATGTGTGTCTCCGGGGGACAGTGAGACTTCTTTATCTACATGCGCGATTCTGAGCTCATATTTCAGAGCAGTGCAGCTCATTTATAAAGCGCTTTACAGACCAGCGCATGTACTACTTTAACACGCAGCTTAATTTGCGCTGCTGATTGTGCTGCGGTTTTCAGACGCAAAACGAGATGAAAATATTCCGATGCACAGTACAAAATAAGAAACATGATTCGAGACTAAAGCGCATCTACTAAAGTCAGTGTAGGAGATGATGCACATTGCGATTTATTTCTGTAGGTCACTTTAATGAGCGAAAAAGAAATGATGTTTTGAGAGATATCTCACTCAGAGTATGTTTAAATACTGAACGCAATTTAAAATAGTTGTATTTTTTACTTGCTTCTTAGTCGTGCAGTTTTTTTGCATGAAGTCAATCATTTGAAGTCAAATGCATATACTTATTATTTTTTTTGCATAAAGTAAATCAGTCAAATGCACAAAAACATGCTTTTTTGCATAAAGTCAGTAATTTTAAGTCTAATGCACAGAATGTTTTTGTGCATAATTTCAGCTTTTTTATAATTTAAAATCAATGATTTCAGGTAAATTGCACGTTTTTCTGCATAAAGTCAATAATTTAAAATCAAATGCACAAAAATCAGTTTTTACATCATTTAAAATCAAGTCAAATGCACAAAATCGTTTTAATTTTTTTTATTTCTGTTTTTCTAAATCTGTCTTTGCATAATTTAAGGTAAATAATTTAAAGTCAATTGCACGTTTTTTTTGTGCATAAAGTCAATCATTTTTGAGTGATTACTATTGTGAAATGATTGAAAACGGTCTTATTTAAAAGCTAATAAATGCATCTGTTTTTACATTTAAAGCATTTGGTTTAAAATCGTTCTTCAGCCTGTACCTACACAATGGTTCCAAGCGCAGTAGCAGAAATGTCTTCATGCACCAGCTGACAAAAGCACAATTTAAAGTTTGTTTGTGACTCAGTGAAGGGGATCTTGGGGGCCGTTCGGGGTCCCATCTGTGTGCGGGTAAATAACCGGCCCTCTCGCTGTGTCATCCCTCAGGTTGTGACATGTGTGCGGACAACCGTAACGGCGAGTGTCCCATGCACGGACCCCTGCACTCGCTGCGGAGGCTGGTGGGGACCAGCAGCTCCTCGGGGGCCGTTCCTCCTCCAGAGGTCCCGGACTGGCTGAGGGATCTGCCCCGTGAGGTGTGTCTGTGCACCAGCACCGTCCCGGGTCTGGGATACGGCATCTGTGCAGCCCAGCGCATCCCACAGGGCACCTGGATCGGGCCCTTCCAGGGAGTCCCGCTGCCGCTGGAGAAGGTGCAGTCGGGTTCCGTGCGAAACACAAGACACTTATGGGAGGTGAGTGTGTGTGTGTGTGTGTGTGTGTGTGAGAGAGAGTGTGTGTTGTGTCCAACACAAAGAGGGGCGGGCTAGAAAAAGCCCAAACACACTAACTAAAGGTCAGCAGCTTCACCTCTGACACCAGCTGACAGACAGAGAGAGAGAGAGAGAGTGCAGATGGATCATCAATTATCAGCTCTGTAAATATAGACATGGACAGATATGCATGGAAGATTATTTCTGCCATAGAATGTAAAATAAAAAGGATAATTGTGTCATTTTAGCTCACAATTCTGACTATTTTCCTGCAATTTGATATGAGTTTATATCTCATAATTCTGACATTTTTCAGTAATAACTCAAGATGTGGAAGATGTTAACTCGCAATTCTAAGAAGGAAAGTCAGAGCTGCGATATAACCTGACAACTGCAAAAATAAAAGTCAGAATTGTGAGCTAAAATGTCACAATTACTCTTTTTTTTATTTTTTATTCTATGACAGAAATAGGTTTAAACAATCATATTGTGCATGGAAGCTTATTTCTGTCATTGAAAAAATGTAATACAAATTTAATACAATTACCTTTTGTGTTTGTTATAAAAAAAGGGTAAGTTTTAAAAAACAGAATTGTGGAAAAAAACTTGCTATTGTGAGAAAAAAGTCTGAATTGTGAGATTAAAAAGTAGCAATTACCTTTTTGATTTTTTTTAACAAAAAGCAATTGCAAGATGTAAACTCAGAATTCAGAGAAAAAGTCAAAATTGCAAGATTCAGTGGAAAAAAATCTAAATTGTTAGATTTGAAATCAGAATTATGATTTATAACTTGCAGTTGAGAGATATAAACTAGCCAGTCTGAGAAAATAAGTCAGAAATGCGAAATATAAACTTGTAATTGCAAGAAAGAAAGTCATAATGACCTTTTTTCCTTTTTTTTTAAATTCTGTGATGGAAAAAACTGAATTGTGAGATTTCTCAGAATTAGAAGGGGGAAAAAAAATGAAAATTGCGTGATATAAAACCAGAATTCTGAGGAAAAAAGTTGAAATTGCGAGTTGTAAACGCAATTATGAAAGTCAAAATTGCAAAAAATTTAGAATAATGAGATGTAAACTTGCAAATCTGAGAAAAAATGTCAGAAATTTGAGAGAAAAAAAAGTTGCAGGCACCTTTTTTATATTTTTATTCCTTGGTATAGAAATACATTTCCATAGATGTGCATAAAGCTAAACTTCTTACACTCTCAGAAAAAAGGTACAAAAGCTGCTAATATGCTCCAGTTAGGAGTGAATAAGGTACAAAAGTGACAGGATTGACAGCTTTTTAAAGTTTTTTGTTGGTGTGAAAGCTGATGTGAAAGTCTGGGTCTGTAATGCACGCTGAGGCAGAGATGTTGTTGGTGGTCTGGTTCAGTGTGACGTCAGGTTCTACAGTAAAAATTCCTCTGGATTAAAGCGGGCGGTGTGTGTGTGTGTGTGTGTGTCTGAGAGCAGAGAATGAAAGGCTGGAACGTGTAGAACACAAACATCTGAGCCGAGATCTTCTGCGGGGAGCAGCGACTGAACTAAAATAGCAGAATGATTCTCTGGAGTGTGTCAGAAATCACTGCTAATGGCAAATGAATCAGTGGCTGGGTTTGGCACAGTGTTATTGGTGCTCGGTAGCTCGACAGATTAATATTTCCCCTGTTAGATCATCTATTATTTTAATATTAGCGAAACAGATCGCACGCCGCGCTCATTACGGCCGATCCAGCGTTTGATTAAGTCTGTCTGTCTGACCTTTTATTGACGTGTTATTACGGCTCCTGCTGTCACAGCGCTGATGTATGGAAGTGTTGCTGGTTAAACACCTGATAGCAGACATTTGTTCAGTCAATTAGGAGCAAATAAAACTGATAGTTCATCTGCTGTTTCTTTAAATGACAGAGATAATGATAGTGCAGGTCTAAGTTCATTAGAGAAACACACACGTTTATGAGATGCATGCATCATCTGAAAGCTGAATAATAAGCTTTCCATTGATGTATGGTTTGTTAGGATAGGACAATATTTGGCTGAGATACAACTATTTGAAAATCTGGAATCTGAGGGTGAAAAAAAATCTAAATATTGAGAAAATCATCTTTAAAGTTGTCCAAATGAAGTTCTTAGCAATGCATATTACTAATCAAAAATTAAGTTTGGATATATTTACGGTAGGAAATTTACAAAATATCTTCATGGAACATGATCTTTACTTAATATCCTAATGATTTTTGGCATAAAAGAGAAATGTATAATTTTGACCCATACAATGTATTGTTGGCTATTGCTACAAATATACCCCAGCGACTTAACACTGCTTTTGTGCTGCAGGGACACATATCAGGGCTGTTAAGCTATTACATTTTTAAATTTTAATGTTTTATTATTTCAATATGTGTATTAATGTTAAAATAAAAAACAACAACAACAAAAAAAAAACAATTATTTCATGATGTGCCAGTTAATTAATCACAAATTAATCCCATGTCAATTTGGGCTGAGAAATCATCCCCCAAAAGATCACTTTTAAAAAAAAGTATTTTTATTATTTATTATTATTAAGTATTTATTATGTTAAATAAGAAAAGCATTGAACAGACATTCCAAAAAAAGTAGCATTAGAAAGATTTGATTCAACTTTGCATAAGTAATGATAATAAATGGATATTAAAAATCACACTCTAAATATCAAACTGTCTTAATGAGTGAGTCATTGAATCATTCATTCAACTGATTCATTCAAACAGCTGGTTCATTTAGAAAGAAACCGAGTGACTGTCTTTATGAAAGAATCACTGAATCATTGACTCACTTGATTTGTTCAAATAGCAGATTAATTTGGAAACAAAGCAAGTGACTGTCTTTATGAAAGAGTCACTGAATCATTGACTCACTTGATTCGGTAATGAATCACTGCTGTGTGTTGACCAGAGATGCTCAGCTGTTCTGCTGTGGCTTGATTGGAACTATTTTCATTTGCGAAACTGAGCAAAACAGATAATATTGTGTCTAAAACACAATATAAACTTCATGTTTATTGAACTTGTTGTATAAATCAATATCACATTTGCGTGCACTCTTGCTGGTGTGATATTGCTAAACTACACTACCAGTCAAAAGTTTTTGAACAGTAAGATTTTTGATGTTTTTTTGAAGAAGTCTCTTCTGCTCACCAAGCCTGCATTTTTTTGATCCGAAGTACAGCAAATACAGTAAAATTGTGAAATATTTTTACTATTTAAAACAGCTGTTTTCTATGTGAATATATGTTAAACTGTAATTTATTTCTGTGATGCGCAGCTGTATTTTCAGCATCATTAC